AATGTTTATCTGAATTCTGAAACAGGTATCGCAGTGCATGCAACAACATTGAATTAATTAAAATCTTATCCAACTTACTATTTCAAGATAAGAAACTTTGAACGCTTCTGTCTGGGTTGAAAAGAATTAAAAGCTGAGGGTTATTAGAATATTGAAGGAGTAGATGGTACTATAATCTTTGCTGAAAGCCTGAACAAACTTGGATTGCAATACCATGCTTTGAAGAATCAAACAAACACAAGTTGTCAACCAAATTAATATTCTTAATTAAATATTTTACGGTTTCTTTAAAAATTCGCATAGTAATAGGATAATATTATATTATTTAAGAATTTATATTTGATTAAAAAGTGAATATATTATCTATAAATTTATTTTCGAGTAAAATGTGGTATTGTAGTTCCACAAGCATTGTTATGCCTTAATTTTAATCATATTATGTAGTTTTTGGTGATACACATGGATATATAGCTCGTGATCTCTATAGTTATATCATTGTAACTGATTATTTAATTGTTGTATCTGAGGAGACACACGACCGATAATTTCAAACACCAAGTGTTTTTTTCAACCGTTTGTTGCATATGAAATCAAATATCTTTTCTACCATTATCTTTTAATTATTTGATATAATCTTTATTTTATTATATTCTTAAATTTTTCCATCTTCTGACGTAGATTTACAAAAATAAGTATGTATGCACATTACTTGTCAAATTAACGTTGTAATGACAAGATACGGATAAATACGGTCTTAACCAAACTTGGAAGAAACAGTGACAAAACATTGAGTTTTCGGTCTTTATAAATATGTCGAGCGATGTCCGATCTCATCATCTTTATCAGATCTTCTTTAGCTTCCGTTTCTTAACAACCCCTGCTGCATACAGAAAACAGTACAACAGTTGTTTACGTTGTTCGTTATTATGTTTAGCTCGAGCCGAAGAAATCCAGGCAGAACAGGAAGAAAAAGAATGGAGAATCCTCTACAGCTGAAGTGCTTGAATCACGTTTCACTATCGTGTAGATCAGTTGAGAAATCCGTAGAGTTTTATCAGGATATTCTAGGGTTTCTTCCCATCAAGAGACCCGGTTCCCTCGATTTCTCTGGTGCATGGTAATTTTAATTTAATTCTACCAACGAGATTCTTTAAACCATTTGTTATTTCTTTTTGGGTTGAAATATTGATTCCCAGTGTTGTGATTGGATAGGCTGTTCAGCTATGGCATCGGTATCCATATTCTCCGATCAGAAAATCCTGAAAGCATGCCTAAGATCGGACATATTTATCCCAAGGACAATCATATCTCTTTCCAGGTATGTTTTATATATTGCATGCTAATGATACATATATGCTTAAATATTTATTAGAATACGTTCTTATAGTAATTAGCTGATTCCAGTGCCAGTGCGATAGCATGGCGACACTGGAGAACAAATTGAAGGAGCTGAACATAGAATACGCGAAGGGTAGTGTAGAAGAAGGTGGAATCCTCGTTGATCAGCTCTTCTTCCAAGATCCCGACGGTAACATGATTGAGCTATGCAACTGCGACAACCTACCTGTAATTCCGCTGCCCGTCGACGCTATCCAGTCATGTTCGCTGACCGACTGCAACGCACGACAACGGCAGCAGCAACAACAAATACAGGCGCAGATGATTGAGCATCCGGTAGAAATCTAGTGACTTATGTGCTGGAACTCTGCCAATGTCAACATGTTTAATGTTTTTTGCCCTGATCAACCACCGTCTTGATAAATTGTTTACTGTGTCGAGATTTGATGGCGCCATAATATTCCAACAGAACAAGGGGGGCCATTGAACTTAAAGTTATTAGAATTATTCTTAAGATAAGCAACCAAAATCCAAAAACTTCAATCAACATTCATGTCATCAAAACATGTAAATATATGATTGTATAATTTTGCGGTCCATGGCTTCGATCGCTTGTCTAAGTAAGAACTTTTTTTTATATATAAATTACGGACTCACTTTTTAACTTTGCAAAGGAAGAAGAAAGCAAATCCTGATGCACATGCTCCGGCCATGCTTCGAAGTCAATTCCACTGGAATCGAGAGAACGTTGCAATGTGAAGCGTGCTCGTCTGGTAGGATGAAAGTCGTGAAACAAAAAATAATTGCTGGCTTTTATCTCCTTTAGTTTAATAGCCGACTACTGACATGTTAATAAATAGGAGGGCTAAATCTGAATCTATGTGGTCCAATCATATAAGTGACTGAAATATATAAATTAAATTAACCTAGGTTGAGCCAAAGTTACACCTATAAAGTTATATTAGTTGGAACATAATTTCTTAATAGATTCCAAACTCATCGTCTAGAAGTAGTTGGTCACTGCCAATCTGTCTTTTATTACCAGAATTATACCCATCATTTTTTTATTTGCCCTCCCGCTCCCAAACTAATTTGGACATATCCAAACCTAAAATATTACTTAAACGATATCAAATTCACTTTAATTATGAACTAACTCAGTTGATCAGAAATATACCTATCATATTAGTTGTAATTCTATCTTAATTTTTCGTCTAATCTATAAAGTATAATCCCAACACAAATATAATCATTTGAAAGTGACAGTTCCATCAGGTAGCCTAATGGAAGATCCCCATGGGGTTGCCGGCTCTTCACAAAACAACACTTTGGGGACAAATATCCCCCCCCCCAAACTCTAAATCAACTCTAACCCAGACACAGACTAAACCTTCAACGTTAGAGAAAAAGGCCCATCAAATCTCTTCAAAGCAATCATCTTCCTTTAATTTATCCTTCATCACAGGCAACAACACATGGTTTGCTTATATAAATTATTCCATCCTCTTTCTATTCAAATTATTATTTTCTATATGGCTATTTCTTTTGGCTAATGATTCCCGAACATCTCCCCTGCTGACATTATGTATATATATATATATTTATGCACCTTCGTGGCTTGACTTCATAGACTAATACAACATTATTAGAACAAGACACGGTGAGAGAGAGAGAGAGAGAGAGATTAATGGCTTCCAGAGAGAATAAGCAGAGGAAACTAATAGGTGGTTTCTTGAGCAGTTTTTATAGGTCCGGTACACGAAGTCAGAAGTCAAAACCCGAGCCTCCTGTAGCGGCAAATAACAAGCCTGTTCCACCGAGTTTATTGTTGAAGAAACTTGAAAATGGCCAAACTGTAGACAAGGATGGCCAGAAGGGAATAAAAAAAAAAGGTATCGAAGGAGGAAAGGTGGTCGTTGAAGGAAGAAAGTCAGTGTCCCACATCGAGACGAATCTGTCATCGGTGATCTCATTTCTTCAGGTGAAAGTTTTGGTTTCCGACATGCCAGGGTTCATGCAAGTGCATGCCTTCCGCTCTGCCAGAAGAACATACGACAGTTTGGAGAAGTTTAGCTCCAGGCACATGGCTTATAACATCAAGAAGGTATGTTTCAAAAAGCTCAACTCTTTCACATGCTCTGCATTTTCAAGATCAGTTTCGCATTGTACATGTAGATTCATGTAAACATGAATAAGCTTTTTTAATCTATTCACAGTTTCACGGTCTGTAATGACAGTGGCAAAAGTATTTATCTAGCTAGGTAGGTAGATTGATTATGGAAGTGTTTCTTTTTGGAATTGCCTGAGTTTGAATGATTGAGGCTCATTCATGGAACCTCACGAGTCACAAGGAAGGAGACAATATTCTGCAGGACAGATAGAGATTTTCTTTCCGATTTGTTTCTTCCAGCAGAATCTAGGTGTTAAGGCGCACATGGAACCCTTGACTAATATTTTTGGCTATTACTTACATTCTTGAAAAATGGGAAAAAATAAACCTCAAGTATGGGAATCCATAGTGAGATGAGACCCGATCCGACTCATCATCTGTAAAAACAGGCTGCGATGGATCGAGGGGTTTTGAGATGCGATCTCAACTTAAAATTTTTAATATAATTTCTTAAATTCATACCTCTGATATAAATTTTTATGTCCATCCAAAAACTGCAAGTCATTTGCATGTGTAGAACAATGGAGTAGTATAATGTCGAGTTGAAGTCCATCCCCGTGAGTTATTTTAATCATTTTAGACATCCAATTATGTCTTATGGTTTAGCAGTTTGGGCTTTTTTTATACAGGAGTTTGATAAAGTTTATGGACCGACCTGGCATTGTATCGTGGGATCAAATTTCGGCTCATTCGTTACACACTCAACGGGTTGCTTTCTTTATTTCTCAATGGAGAAACTGTACATTTTAATATTCAAAACAAAAGTTCGTAGGGTTGGGAATTAGACAATCGAAGGCTACTAATTACTGTATGTTATTTTCTCCCTTGGCATGAATTTCTACCTGAATTATTGGTAGCCAGACCGGACCATTTTGGCACCTCTGTGGCTGCTGATGGATCGAATGTGATAGCAATGTGTGTAAATGGTTGGCTTGATCGGTTTGTCCTTTTTGACGTAACTTTCAAGATGAAGTGCTCATAATTGAAGAAATTATAATATATATATACACATTAATTTACGAGAATGACATTTAATTTGTTATTAATTTAGAAAATAAATTGGGAGTGTTATAAATGATTCTATCGGTGCATTGATAGATCTATAAATATTTTTTTAGAATGAATATATTACTAACTTAAGATCAAAGGTTATTAATAAAAATAATTGATTAATTGAATAAAATTTGAATTTTAAGATTGGACACCTCATCAATCAAGCTATTGACTATTGGGTAACAAACAAATTAAAAGTCGGCTGCCTTATCAGTTACCAGTCCAAAATGAATGAAATAAATAAATTCATTTATTGAAGGGGGTCTGGTATTTAGTAACTCAACTTGAAGGCGATGAGGTTAATCAATTTTACCTGAGTTTTGTTGGTATACGTTGACACCTTTAAAGAACAAACTGGAATGGAATCAACCCAGAGCTCAGGGGAAATCGAAGAGAAAAGGAAAGAAGGAAAGCATCTCTATAACAAAATCCTATGAAACATAAACTGTTGAAATTCTACATGCGAACACCACACATAATTTGAAATGGAATGTGGAAAGCTGTGTATCACATTCAAAAACATATACAAAATTACGTAATGATCATCAGGCCTTACGCTTGTTTGATCTTCTTTTCTTGACGGAATCTGGTTTGCCGAAAACCCCGCAAAAACCGCATCCGGATACCTTCGGAGAAGGAGGATCCACGCTGGGAGTGGCCGCCTGGGTCGTGCGGTAGGTATGTCCGCCGCTGCCTTCGTCTGATCGGCTTCGTCTCCCTCGGCTGCTCTCTTTATTTTCCGGGGTGTTACCCCTCGTTTGGTTCGAATCCCCCGATACAACCTTGTTGTCCCATACCAAACCCGACGACCCTTGCCTCCTGAAGGACGTCGTAGACCTCTGCAAACCCTCCATCTCTTCTTCGAAAGTCTTTTTTCCTTCTTCTCTGGTTTATGTTATGGAATCCGGTTGCAGTTGGTTATAGGCTTTAATTGGTACAAGGGAGTCCGGAGGAACGTGGTGTAGTGCGACTTTTTCAAGGTGGGGTTTCGGTCTACCATTTGAAACACCGAACAGCTGACGGATTCAAAATAATAAAATAAATATTTCAAAACATTTACCAAAACTCTTGTTTTCGTATAGGTAAGGGGTGATTCTTTCAATCATGTGTCACAACATACTTCAGACTTAATTGCGTTTTATTTTGAAATTTATAAATTGTCTATCAAAAGTAAGTGTGGTAAAATTCGAATTTGACCTTATCAACTCAAATTCATAAATCTCAACCATTTATATCAACCCTCGTTGGTTGTAATACTTAAATTATTAAACGCTTGAGTTAAGATCGTAAACGTTTGAATAATCTAGTTTAATTAAATATAATAGCATCAAGGCTTAGTCCAAAATGGCATCATATTTTAAATTACATTACACTTTCGCTAACTATAGACTGAAGATGATACATAAAACATTAGAAAGTTTTAATCATTGTAAATACAATAATAGAATTAAAAAGGTGATAAGTTTTGACCATTTGAAGTCAAAGTTTATTCTAAGGTCACACAAAATATGACATACAAAAGCTAATTCATGCCTTTGATCATTTAAAAAAAATCATCAATATTTAATTTATGGTTTAAGGATCACTTTGTTCCGTTATAGGTTAAATTTATCATTTTCGATCTTATCATATTTTGCATCAATTTAACCCACAAAGTTATTTAATTAGATCATTCTATACCCTATCCTCAACTTAAAACCTTAAATTATAAATCCTAAACTAGAGTTTAAGTTTAGAATTTAGAAATTGAGCTTATGATTTAAGGTTTTAAGGGATAAGATATAAAAAAAATAACTGACCCTATTCTCATATGTAATAAGATAAAAGAGAGGTAGGGTAGTAGGTTACCTCCAACGCTAGGTTGAAAGCAAACAACTTTACAGCCTTTTACGAAAATACAATAGGGACAAAATTGATAAATTTAATCTATTATAAGGGTAAAGGTTACCCTTTTGCCTTGATTTATTAGTTGATTAATTTCTTTTTTTCTCAGGGAAGAGAATTTTCACCAACAGATGGGAAATGAAACATAATTAGTTTTGATTGTTTCTCTGGAGCAAGAGGTCAGCAGGAAGAATGCTGTAAAATTAAAACCTGCCTTTAAGCAATACATGATTTGATAAATAAAACTCTATTGTTCCCCAGTAAACAAAATTGCGATCGTACAAGATCTACTGGAACCCAGTGATAAAGTCATTTTGCCTTCCCTTTCTTGGAAGACCCTGCTCCTCCTTTCTTTTGGCCAGTCTTCTTATGAAGCTGCTTTTTTGGTTTCAACTTGTTTGTGGTTGATGAGGACTTCCCTTCTTGATTCCTTTTACTCCTAGCTTTCTTCTCTTTCTTCACATTATACATAGTAACAGCCTGATCTCAAAGATAACACGAAATTAGATTAAAAGCCATTCTCAGATAAAAAAAATGTATTTCCATTTTGGATATCAACTGATGAACCTACGTTAGCCAAATCATATGGCTCGAACATACCTTGTTAACATTGAGTATCTCATGCGAATGCTTAGAGATTAGCTTATTTAGAACACTCTCGGTTTGTTCCTTCTCTCGCGAGCCTATCCCTGATCCTTCGACAACAGGTAAGAACTAACAGAAGTACAAAAAGACCATATCAGAGCATGCCATCACACTTCATCAGAAATATTTACACTGAAGTGAAGGCCGAGGATGCAAACCTTGCGATGCTTTCCTTGCTTTTTAGCAGGCTTTTCTCCAGGCAACTTCCTATCGAATTTCCCGCCACTAGCTGTAGAAGTAGCGGCCATCCCAGCTACATTCCCTAATTCATCTTTCGTAACTTTCTTAGGTGGAGCCTGTGTTCCTGTTATGGGCAGAGCAGTAGCAGCAAGCTGAACATGGCTGCAGCAAACCACCAAGTTAAAATCAACAAAAACATCACAAATAGTCAAACTCTAGAACCAACGAAAAGATAAAAGTGTCCTCTTGGAAGTTAAAAGAATCTGATGAAAAGCAATTACATGAAACTCAACCAAAGATCTAGAGTTTGTTCAATCAAAGCTAAAGTATCTGCCAGAGTTTTTCTCATCAAGAACTGCCTACGGAAAAGAATCAAAGTTGACTTCAAACTATTGATGTATATATGAATTTTTATGAGCATAGTCCGCAACCATAGTCTAACACCGAAAGTGCTAAAATGACATGAATATTAGGGGTGTAAAGGAATAGTATCAAAGAATAAGATTTAAAGACTAATGCAGCATAATGATGATAGATAAAGAATAAGCGAAGAGGAGCTATTTATACCAATAGTATCTCAAACATGATTAAGATATCAGTTTCTTATTGAAGATAATTACTGTGATTCTACATACAGAAAACTACAATAGATTGGAAAAACCTTGGCAAAGCACCAATTTTTGCAGCTTGTTTCAAGTTCTGGAGGCGATTCTTCTCTTGTTTCTCAACTCGTTTCTTCTTATCATCTTGTCTTTTAGCAAAAGGATCCACTCCTGGCTCTGCAAAATAAAAACAACCATGATCAGCAAAAAAGTCAACTATATTTATTTTCTTCAGGGAAGAAGACTCATTAATTACTCACCATCAGTCATCTTGGCCTCGATGATTGGTATATCTTTATCATCATTGACACGATCATAACCAAAACGACGTTTCCATGTACCAGTCTGTTCATCCCATACAACTTTGTCCTTTTTACGTTTCTTTATACCTAAAAGATATCTCAAAAGAGAACAACAAAAAAATAGAGAATCTTCAGGCCAATGGAAAATGAGATTTAACACAAAATTTTAACATAGGCATGTAAACGTAAGATGACAGGTGAAATGGTTTACCTTTCTTTTTAGCAAACTCCTCCCATTTTGTGGGAGGTTTAGGCTTCGGAAGCTGAAAGCACAAGCACAATAAAGCAATTCAGGCACCTTACAAACTAGATTTTCAATGCATATAAACAACTGAACAAGAAAATTCAAATTCATTTGGTAGGATATAATCGTTCTTTACTTACAGAAGACCAAAATGGCATATTTAAAAATGAAGGCTTACATGCTTCTCCCTAGGAAGTTTTGTTGTTGTGGGAGGCAACTTAACAAGTGGTCCATCTACATCTTCAGTTGAAGGCAAGTTAAAAAGACTATCTGCAACTTCTTGAACTAACTTGCTGCCCTCCTTTAAGCATTCCTTCACTAGCTCATCCCTGAACATATTGTCCGGGATACACATAAGATCAGGGAAAGGAACGCAAATGAACATAAACAACTTCTTTATAAACCAAACAAGCAACATACAAAAGGTAGAGCATGCTTTGAAAAGACCAACTAAACTAGGTTTGAAGGAAACCAAGTGTCCCAATTCCAAAGTATGTCCATTTATAGCATCAAATTCAAAACCCATTGCAGAAATCGATAAAATCAAATGAGAAACAAAAGAAGGAAACCTCTTTCAGCTAATTCGATAGAAAATTGTAATTACAAAAGAAAGAGAGAGAAGTAAACCTGGAAGCCGGGAGCGAAGGAAAGCTATGAAAAGGGTTAAAAGCCAAAAGATTTCCCACGTCTACATGAAAAGGTTTCGGGCTGTCCATCTCCATTGCCATCTCCACTTTGTTTCGCTGTATGGAGCTCAGCTAACTGCTCAGCTTTGGTTTGGATTGTCCTTCCAAAACCTAACGCCGAAAATGGCAAAACAAAACCTGCTGAAGAATGCGGCTATCAAATTATATTGATATAGGATTCAACTAGTAATCATCGGCCAAATTAGCCCACTACAACAAGCGGGCTTTTTTATTTAACCTAATACGGCATCAGATAACTTAGTTCGAAAAGACATTTGTTATAATGAATGAAAATTGTCGTATAAATATGACGAATTTTAATAAAATATATTTTTATTAGAATATATTACTATTACATGATAAAATTTAATAAAAATATATATTTTTAAAATTCGTCATGTTAACGTGATAATTTAAATAAAAAAATATTATTATTTAGATAAAATTATAATGCAAGCGAAATAAGTTTTTTCTATACTATAATATTTATTATAGATTTCAAATTAATCTTATGAATGATCTAATAAATAAATTTTTATCTCGTCTGACATATTAGACAATTTTTGCTAGTAATCATCCACTTTGTAGGCCTTAACCCATTATAGAGTCCACTGTTACTTCATTTTCGTGTCATTTGTTTGGAGTTTTTGAATATTTATACTTTTGACATTTATGATGTTCGAATTAGTGTATTTAAAGAATACTAATAATTTTTTTATTATAGAGATCACATGATTTGTACCGATAAATCAAAATTAGATTAGATATTGTCTTGAAAAGTTTAAAATTGAGATCTCAACCATTATGTCAAATTTAAAACTTAATACATAGTTGACAATAATATTTAGCTTAAAATATAATTTAGACCAATTATATTTATATTATAAAAATATATTAGTTATAAAAATATATCATATAAATAATATTCTTTTAAAAATTTTAATTAAAAATTTTATTTAATACTATATAATTAAAACAAAATTAAAACTTAATATTAATTGGAATTTTGATAAACATTTTATTGTTCTCTCTTTTTCTTTCCTTGTTTGACACGCTGGGGTTTTTCTTTGAATGATGGATTCTCAGGCGCCGGTGTCTATTCCCCTTTCTGGTCTGGATCGCCCGGGGTCTCCCTTACCAACACAAAGTGCTAGGGCACACAAGAAAGTTAAAAACCGTGGAGTTCAAGACAAGTCTCATGATGAATCGGTTGTGGAGGCAACGACAGCCATGGGGGATATCAACATGGCAGAATCGGTGGTTAGCATCCCTGATAACATGCCTATTGATAAAATGTCACGCTCGTATTTCTCTTTGACTCGCTGAACTTAAGACTGATTGTTCTAATGTAAACCTTGCCAATAGACTGATAGAAACTAATAACAACCGGTGAAAAGTCTACATCTTCTATCAGTATTTAGATTTACTGGGTCAGCAAGTTTAGAATTTAGCGTCTGAATCCTGCAAATACCGGGTCTTCAAACGCCGGTCTTGGACTGCAAAGTAGAGAGAAAACGGGGAAAAGAAGAGGATTTGAAATGATGATGTTTTGGTGGATATTTGAGTTTTTCAAAATAACAACGTTTTAATTATTGTGTCACGTCATAACACCGTTAAAAAGCTAACGACAAAGTGAGCAAAATGATTAAATCTCCATCAATTACATAATACAATTAAGTCTCCATCAAGATGAGAATACCAAGCATTTCCAATTGATGCTTTTAGACAAATTACAGGGTTACAAAAATATATATAGTGATCAATAGGTACCATTTTGATTAATTAAATACAATAACATACATCCTTATATGAGATTTGCAAAATTGATAGACTTTTGTAGTGCATGTGAACGTAGAGATATTCTGTTACTGCTAAATGATGCAACCAATGATAAAATAATCTTTGAACATATCCTCCTAATCTCACCTTCGGACCCAGTTTTCACTTCAATGCTACTCATCTTTATCATCGCTCTACGAAACTCGCAATCAAACCTTAACCCCAACAATCCTTTTATGTTCCCTGCATATTTTTCCACTACACTACCCGTAGCAGCATCTCCCCAAAGCCTCTGGTTCGATTCCAATACCCCTTTGCCATCGCGAACGTTTTTGAAGAAGCTCACATCGAACTTCGTCTGGCTGTTTATATCTAATGCCTCCCTTTTCGAACCGTCACTGTTTCTCGGACATAGAGCTTGGAGTTGTGCTAAGAATGATTGGTTAATCGTCGGGTCTGCATTTTCAGATACATGAAGTTATATGGGCGGTAGAGAATGTTGGTTTTTTGGCAAAGTCCCACATTGGTTGTGTATAAGGAGGAGGGGAAATTCTTTTGTTATAAATAGAGTCATCCTCCTCCTTAATTAAGCATCCCACAAATATAAGCCTTCTTTACTATTAAAGGTTATTTGTACTCTTTCTCTCTTTGTAATATTTCCTCTATTAGTGAAATATTATTTTAGTTGTGTTCGAGGAGGTAGACATAATTTTGGCCTAACCTCGTTAAATTTTGGTGTTCTCTTTATGTCTATTTAATAGCTATTGTCGGGTATAGTTGTTGTTAATTATTGTCCTATTAAAATTACTTGTCTTGGTAGTTCTGTCTATAAGGAAAGTGGATTTTAAGAATGACAATTGTGACCCCTCCTCTTTCCTGGGAATCTACCTTGGGTGATTTTTAGTACAATCGTTTTCACACTAGTCACCTAGATAATAGTTTTCAAGGTGAATTTGTTATTATTGGTGGAAATTAACCCGAATTCCACAACAATTGGTATAAGAGCTCTTGGTTTATTTTAGTATGCTCTGTGGTTGCGGCTTAGGCTGATCTTCCACATCAAAAAAAAAATTCCTTGGGGTAATTGACATTCTGCATTGACAGCTATTAAATAGAATTTGTAGCAGAAATGGCAGACGACACAAAAACATCCGTAAGAAATGCTGTGACAAATGTTAGATTTGCAGTGGAGATTTTTGATAGCACCAGTCATTTCGACATGTGGCAAAGTGAGGTTCTAGATGCCCTATTTCAGCAGGGTCTAGACATTGCTATTGAAGGAGAGAAACCAGATGATGTTGAGGAGAAAGAATGAAAGAGGATCAATAGATTGACATGTGGTACTATTCGATCGTGTCTTTCTAAAGAGAAGAAATATGCATTTTCTAAGAAAACTTCTGCAAGTAAATTGTAGAAGGCACTAGAGGAGAAATTTTTGAAGAAAAGCGGTCAGAACAAGCTCTACATGAAAAAGAGATTATTCCGCTTCAACTATGTACTAGGTACCACTATGAATGATCACATTACTACCTTAAATCTGCTGGTGACTGATCTGATGAATATGGACGTGACTTTTGGAGACGAAGATCTAGCTCTGATGTTGATGGGATCACTTCCTGATGAGTTTGAGTATCTTGAAACTACTCTACTTCATGGGAAGGTTGATGTGTCTCTCAGTGAAGTAACTGTTGCCTTGTATAATTATGAATTGAGAAAGAAAGACAAACAATAAAACACAAGTGTCGAAGCAGAAGCTCTTATTGTTAGAGGTCATTCGAAGAGTCAGAATAAAGGAATGAGAGGGAGATCGAAGTCAAAGTCCAGATTGAGCAAAGATGAATGTGCCTTTTGTCGAGAAAAAGGGCACTGGAAGAAAGAATGTCCCAGGCTAAAGAATAAAGGCAAACCTGAAAGGGGAAAGGCTGTCTCAGAATCAAATGTGGTCGAGTATGATGATACAGATTCAGATTTCGCATTCGCTGCTACGTCATCAACCAGTTTTTCCAGTTCATGGCTGTTAGATTCAGCTTGTAGCCACCATATGACCCCCAATAGAGAATGGTTCTTTGATTTTAAAGAACTAAAAGGTGGAATTGTCTACATAACAAATAATTCCTCTCTTGACACACTTAGGATTGGTTCAATTCGCTTGAGGAATCAGAATGGATCAATCAGAACCTTAACATGTGTCAATTATGTACCACATTTAATGAGAAATCTCATCTCTGTGGGAACCTTAGAGTCAAAAGGTTTAGAAGTGAGGGAAAAATATGAGATTATGAGGATTATCTCTGGTGCATTGGTGATAATGAAGGGAATCCGGAAAAGAAACAATGTGTATTACTTTCTGGGTAGTACAATTGTTGGGACAGCAGTAGTGGCAGCTTCTACTGATGAACAGGAGTCAGAAGCAACCAGATTATGGCATATGCGCTTGGGGCATGTTTGTGAAAAATCCTTGAAATTGCTGATATATCAAGGATTATTGAAGGGTGCTCGGGCTTGCAAATTAGCTTTTTGTGAGCATTGCATCAAAGGGAAGAAGACGAGGGTGAAATTTGGAACAACAATCCATGATACTAAAGGTATTTTGGATTATGTTCATTCAGATGTATGGGGGCCTTCCAAGACAACTTCATTGGGAGGAACACACTATTATGTCACATTTGTTGATGATTTTTTCCGGAGAGTTTGGGTGTATACAATGAAGACAAATGATAAGGTGCTAGGATTTTTCCTTAAATGGAAAAAAATGGTAGAGACTCAAATAGGTAGAAAAAGCAAACGTCTCCGTACAGACAATGGTGGAGAGTACAAAAATGATCCATTTCTAAAAGTCTGTGAAGAAGAAGGTATTGTCAGGCACTTCACTGTCAGATCTACACCACAACAAAATGGGGTGGCAGAGCGAATGAACCAGACATTAGTGGAGAAGGTTCGGTGTATGTTGTCTAATGCTCGGTTAGGCAAAGAATTTTGGGCTGAGGCTTTGGTCTATGCTTGTCACCTTGTCAACCGCTTACCATCGACTGCTATTGGAGGTAAAACACCATTAAAGAAATGGTTTAGAGTACCTGCTACAGATTATGATTCCTTACATGTGTTTGGTTCCACTGCATACTACTATGTTAAGGAGTCAAGAATGCGATCTTTATGGGGATCACCTCTGGTGTGAAAGGCTGTCATCTTTGGTGTCCAGAAACAAAGAAAATAATCTTCAGCAGGGATTTTAACTTTGAGGAATCTATCATGTTGAGAAAGCTGACTTCAGAAAAATTGGAACAGACAGATAGAACTCCCAAACAGGTGGAGTTTGAAGGAAGCAGAATTAACCCAGCCAGTAA